ATAATTAAAATTTAATATTAGTGATATTTCAAAAAATAACAAAGACATACTTGGACATATGAAGAAAAAATATAATCACTTTGCAAAGAATTATTTAACATATATTGTTTCAAAAAACTATCAACAAAATTCGGAATAATTTCTATATATATTTTATCCAGTAATATATATGACACTTCAGTAGGGTTTCCCATATATGCACCAAGAGATATGGTTAATCTACAAATTTTAATATATTAATAAAATGATTAAAATGTAATATATTATTTTTGTATGTACTTTGTTTAATTATTATATAATATTGCATTACCTGTAGTTATCTTTTAGTTTTTTTATATCAGACATACCCTGTATTAGAGAAACAAGTTGCTTCAAATTCGAATTTTTGCTCAAGCATTCGTTATGAATACCTACAAACTGATGATTTTCTTCGAATTTTAATAATTTTATAAATTTATAACAAAAATCAATTCCAACTTGAGGCCACGAATCACGATGCGATTGTTCAAACGATTTAACTTTTTTGCATCCCCAGGTAATAATTTCACAAATCGCGCTTGGAATAACAGATAGCAGAGTGGGTATAAAATGCGATAACCACGGCCAAAGTATAGATGGAGACATGTCTTCAGCAAGAGTTGAAAATATAAGTTTTACCAGTTCTACAGATAGATATTTCGTTATGTCTGGGAGATGCCTAGACCAAATCAATGTAGCAGCTTCCATCTCTCTCTGTGCAAAAATAAGTTTCCTACTTTAATAACTTATTCACAATTAAATCGTACGATATTAAAAGTAACAAAATAGTGTAAAGGATTTACCAAATTTAAATGTGACATGAACTCTCCCATACAATTTGCCTGTGAAAACCTTATCCATTCTTTCATAGTATCATCATCATAACAATCAAAATTTTGTCTATATCCCCAAATCAAGTGAAATGTTTCTAATTTATGCAATGTACTATTAACTAAATCCAAATGATTCAAGTTATCCTCAGATGGCATTTTCTAAAATGAATAATGTGTGTGTTAATCTAAAAAAAATTAAGAAACTATTTTATACAAAATATTCGACAACATATGGTCATGTTAGAAGGAGGCTTTGTAAGTCAAAATAAAAGTTTGCAATTTCATATCTACTAATAGCAAATTTCCTTACTCTTGTCATATTTTGACTTTCAAAAACACCCGCTAAAATGATGATCGTTCTAATAAAACATCTTGTATGTGTATCATTATCTAAAAATAAATTACTGCAATGTTTTCCATTATTCTTGTCCTTGCATACAAATAAATTTTTCTCATCTGCTTATAGTCAGGAACAAGAGCTTTACTACAACACTCTACTATATGTTGTACACTTTCTATTTTCTCAAATATATTAAGAAGCTCCTCTATGTGAAGTAGATCAGAACTTTTTTTTGCCCAAGGTCCAAATTGAGATATAAGTAATGACGCTTTTGCAAAGTAAATGGGCTCTGTGCATAAACTGAATTTTTTGGCAAACTCTTCGGCTTTGTCGAACTGTTCTTTCCGTATTAAACGTTGCAACTGACATTCTGGAAGACTTTCTGATACAGTTTTTATTCTAATTGTATCTATAAAGTTAGTATTATTTTGAAAGTCATTAATGCCTTCCAGAAATAAGATTATTTCATCACGTGGATCCATAATTTCTACAAGATATACTGTAATAGGAACATCTATTTGAAATTTTTCCTCAAAATCTGAAAAGAAAAATAATTATGATATAAAGTAGCATCATTATGCATATCAGTTGAATGAATACATTACACACCTGGAAATGACATAACACGTAATTTACACATATTATGATCATCTTTGTTTGCTGTTAAAATAAGAATTTGACACAAACTATTATCAATATCTTCAATTATTGCAAAATCTGATACTGATTCTCGATATACTTTCAAACCAAGTAAGGTTCGAGGACATACCATGTTTAATGTGTTATCCATA